GCCTACCGTTGGGCTATGTCGGTTACTCTGATTCTACTGCGGATATCCCCATTTCTAAGTTTATCACGCAGAGAAACTCCGAGCATAGCCCTCTCCATAGCTCGCTGAGCGACCTTGAGCTTCCTCATACGGCCAGCAGTGAAGGACCACGTCTCAGATCCGTAAGTCATCACTGGCAACACGCACAGGTTGTACAATTTCGTTTTAAGGTTTTGAGGAATGTCTGACGAGAAAATGTGTCGTAGTTTCCCGAACGCTGCCCAGCCGAGTTGAATCCGCCTATTGACCTCTCGGTGGAAGTTGGACTTACCTAGTCGGACTATTTGTCCCAGGTAAATATACTCGTCAACAACTTCGAGCTTAGTGCTCCTAACAACTACCGGCATAGGTGTGACATGGACGTTAAACATGATCTTTGTTTTGTCCATGTTCATCTTAAAACCTATCTATCCGTTGGATAGTGTCTACTATTGAGGTCATTGAGCATGGTGCTTAGGTCCTACAGCGATTCTGCCATAAGGACTACATCGTCGGCAAATCGAAGGTGAGTGATGTACTCGCCATTAATGTTAATACCGTATCCTTTCCAGTCCAGAAGCTTGAAAACGTCTTCCAATGCAGCGGTGAAGAGTTTCGGGGATATAACGTCACCCTGTCTTGCACCTCTCTGCAATTGGATAGGTTTCGTAATCTGATTCTATACTCGGATAGCCATCGTAGCCCTATTGTACAAGCACTTCAGCACTTCGATACACCGACAGTCAACTTAGCACCGCTTAAGGAACTGCAGCACCGCCCAAATTTCGACGTAATCAAAGGCTTTTTCATAGTCCACATACGCCAGACATAGTGGCAAATTGTACTCCTCGGACTTCTGTACAACTTGCCGAAGGGTATGTATGTGGTCTATGGTGCTAAAGCCCTTTCGGAAACCGGCTTGTTCGGGAGGCTGGAAGTCGTTAAGTCTGCGCGCGAGACGATTCGTAATGACTCTCGGAAACAGCACGTAGACGCGGCTCAGAAGGGAAATCGGTCTGTAGTTCTTCAAGAAAGCGTTGTCACCTTTCTCCAATCAACTCCACGCCTCCGGTGTAATGCCACCATGGAGGACGGAATTAAAGAGCCTCTGAAGGACTGCAAGTACCAGTTTTCCACCCGCTTTCAGAAGCTCCGCTGTAATTCCATCCTCGCCTGGGGCCTTGATCCTAATCTCGCTCAGACTGACGTCCGGGATGTCTTCGGAATATTGTTAGATAAGACTCGCTCTTGGATCGTTACTCACACTTGCGTGTGGCTCCAACGATGACGTGTACAGCTGCCCATAGAACCTCTCAATCTCACTCAAAATCTCAGGTGTCCCGGAAACGATGCTGCTACACTCGGTCTTCAGCCTTGTCAGTTGGCTCTTTCTGGCAGACAGATCTCTGGCAAAGACTTTGGAGCCTTGATTCCGCTCGATCGCTTCCTGAATACAAGCTGTATTGAAGTTGCGCAAGTCCCGTCGCATGCATTTGGAGATCTGTCTGTTCAGTTGCCTGTATGCTGTCAAATCTGTTGAAAAATGTAGCTTCATCTCCCGTCTAACAGCCATGAGATTAAGAGTGTGATCGGAGAGTTTTTGTGTTCTTCTGCGGCGGGTCTTGCAGAACTTAGCTCCGAACGCAATATGTAATAGATCACTATTATAAATAATTTGTGAATAATTTAATTATAATTTTAATATCCATGTTCCCTACAGCTGCTGCTTAGTTATGTGCATGTTTTTTTTTTATTGTCTTAGTTATACATTATCTTTAAGTATTTTTTTTGTGACGTATTTCTTTATAAGCAATTGTAGCTCTGCCCTGTCTTAATTTTTATAGTTTTTTGTAATGCTGTGTCACCTATAAGGGTGCACACATCAGTCCCTAGATTAAGTTCACGTTCAATTAAATGTAATAATGTGTGCACTGCTGGTGTCCTATGAATAAATAAAATAAAATAAAATAACGCATGGACAGTTTCCAAGAGCTTGTCATTCATATCGTCCACTTCATTGCAGTCTTCTAGACACTGAAAACGGTTTTGTAACTCAAGCTGAAAGGTTTCGGTACTTTGGAACAGAGCACGAGGGGGACGGAGCGTTGACTTCATTATAGAGATGAGACATACTCGCAAAATTTCATACCAGGGCTTCTAAGTACGAGTATGGAAAAATACCAGGGTCGAAAACCAGGTTTTATAAATACTGGAAAGTATTTGTTAATGTCAATATATATATGAATGCCTAATTTGATTCGGGCCAAAATTTATACTGTACCTTTTTAAATTTTTTTTGGTAACGAAATGAAATCTTTCTTTCCTACTTTTCGGCTTTAATAAATAAAAGTTTTAAAACTGTCTCTAAATTCAATATACACGCGAAATAACTATTTAAAAATTAGGTCACGGTCAGTAGGTTACGTAATCAGTTCACAATAATAATTGAATTTACAAGAAATCGAAACAAAACTTTTACTTCCCCGAATATAAACATAATTCTTATTACTTACTAGCTACTTACGCGACGTGTCCAGCCGCGGTGTCAGTTTGAAAATACTTGCAAAGAGTATAGTAATATATAAGGAAGAATACTTGCATAGGAATTCGACCCGCTTTCCATGTTAGGCTATTATGACTAAGGAGCAAATTCGTATAAATAAAAAAAATACTTTCAAGTTCAAAGTATTTTTAATTCACAAATACGATTGAGTTTCTTATTACTATTGAGATATGGATCATTTTCCTATGCAAGTATTCTCATACTTGCAAGTATTTTTTGGTCGTAAAAGGGCGCCGTACTTTAAAGTTAAAACCTGGTAGCGTAAATACGTCTCATTGCGACGCGAGGGACGTGTCCAGCCGTGGTGTCAAAATTTGAAAATACTTGCATAGGAATTTCACCCGTATTCCATGTTATCCTACTATGAATAAGGAGCAAAGTCGTATAAATAAAAAAAATACTTTGAAGTACTAAGTATTTTTCGTTAACAAATACGATTGAGTTCCTTACTACTATTGAGATATGGATGATTTTCCTATGCAAGTATTTTCATACTTGCAAGTATTTTTTGCTCGTACCAGGGCGCCGTACTTTGAAGTGAATACCTGGTTTTAAAACCTGGTAGCGTAAATACGTCTCATCTTTACTTCATTAGACGAGACCTCTCCAACTTAACGTTTAGGTTCAGTGTGCCTCTAACCATTCGGTGATCGCTACCAGTTTTCACCTTTTGCGATCACGGAGACATCACTGACAGTTGTCGTCTGGTCGTCATAATGAAGTCAATCTCATTTTTTGTCGAACCGTCGGGGCTCGACCAGGTCCACTTCCTGTGGGGCCGCTTCTGGAAGAAGAAGTTCATCATAAAGAGTCCCTCTTTCTCCATGAAGTCGGCCAGCTGCTGGCACCTTGGGTACCGTTGCCCAATTCCAAATTTCCCTACTTTCAGCTCACCGTTCTCTCTTGTGCCTAGTTTGAAGTCTCCCATTAACACCGTATATTGGGTTTTGGAGGAATGCATGGCTCTAGAGATATCCTCATACATTTCCTCCACCTCCTCATCGGGGTGTGCCGAGGTTGGTGCGTAAACCTGTATGACCTTCAGCGAATACCGTTTGGTGATTCTGATTATAAGGTACGTAACCCTCGTCGACACACTCTCAATCTTTACAACGTTGTTAACGAGAGGCTTGTGGACGATAAATCCGACACCTCCTTGGGACAGATGGTCGCCCTTCCGGTGATAGAGCAAGTTGCCGATTTCGAGGATTACCGTGTCCTCCCCCTCTCTTCGGACTTCGGATAATCCTATAATATGCCAGCGTAACTTGTCTATCTCTTCTTCCAGCTCCACGATCTTCTCGTCAGTCCTCAGGGTGCGTGCCTTGTATGTTGCCAGGTCGAGTCGTCTTATGTGGCAACCGAACCTCCACCGGAGATTCTTAGCACCCCCTGTCCCGCCGTTACCATGGTCGCCACCGTAGCCAGGAATAGCGGGACCACCGGGAACTAGGGACCGTCTCTTTGTTACATTCATTCATAGGGGGTATTTGCCATAGTTGCCACGCTTGGCGAGCGGGTTGGCAACCGCAGTTTTTTTATTGTATTTTTGCTGTTATCAGGAAGATCCTGCTGCCCATCTCCTGCCTGTTTCCCTTTGTCGCCTTTTACGACACCCACGGGAAGATATGGGGTAGTGGATATTCTTAACCGCCACTACACGCTACCACTTAAGGTAAGCGAATACTGTGCTGTGGGGACACTACATCTATCCCCAATTGAGAATCAAACTGCAGATGCGTTGTCACTCCTGAGGACTAAGATGTTTGGCTTGTTACATTTAGAGACTTGTTTTAACAGTGGTAGAGCCACGCGGCAGCTTTTGCTGTCGCACGGATGGGCCGGCTCGAACCGGGGTGGTACCACGACCTCACAGAAAACCAGCGTGAAGTAGAGGTTTACCTCTGCGTTTCGCTTGGTGAGTGCAGGTGGCCGGAGGCCCTTTTTACTGGAAATGAGGCATTCCATCTTAGTCCTCACGGGTGACAACGCATCTACATTTTAATTTGTAATAGATAGATGTAGATGTCTATGGGCCGCAGCAACCACTTACCATCAGGTGGACTGTGTGTTCGTTTGTCACCCTTATCCTATAAAAAAAAAAAAAAAAAAAAAAAAAAAGAGACAAATATGGTCTCGAGTTCACTACACTCTCCGTATGAAGCATATCAAGCTACACAGGGTATTCTGCAAGAGCGTGGTCCTTCCGCGCTCGAGCCGATCTATATGTGACCAGCTCCATCGAAGTGGAGAGGAACGGAAAGGAGGTATAGACATTTTTCGAAATCCATGTTCTCGTCTTCCCTCTACTCGACTCCGCTTCAATGAAAACACCCTCTAATACAGCTACAGCATGCCTATAGTCCGTATAAAATTATTTTTAAAATAGTTTTAAAACGTTTACAATATTGGTGCGCAGAAGCACCGGCCAGTTGCGGAACACACTGAGTCGCGCGCGGGAGCTGTGCGAGCGCTGGCGCAGCGGGCGCGAGGCGCCGGCCCCGCCCGCGCCGCCGCCGGACGACGAGGGCGGCGGCCGCCTGGCGCGCTGGTTCAGCGTGCGCCGCGGTTCCGCGCACCACTACGACATGCACACGCACGACACTGACAAGATGCCCAAACTACCCGAGGTTGGTCACCTAACATAAGGCTATTTGTTTATCAATTTAATTATTTTATTTTTACGATTATCCATTGCGTTCCCACGAATAGCGAGGGAAAAGTTTGTCCCCCCCAGCAGAGCCCCGCATGCCAGGGTAAGGCTGGCCAAATTCTGGGGTCGCCCGGTCCCAGGGCATTGTGGCACGCTAACGACTAGGCTTGCCCCTAGTCATGCATCCATCCGCGCGGCAGACGTTGGATTGGCGGAGAGGATAGGAATAGGAAAAGGGGAAGGATAGGTGGTGTGAAAATGAAGATTGGTAAGTTAAGGTGGGAAATAGGAAATGTAGGATATTACCGTCCAGGAGGGCAAGGGATAGGACAGTAATAGCTAGGGTAGCCGGGGTCGTATACCCGTATACTATACCACAACTACCGGACAGGTAAATTGGGATGAATATCCCACGACAGATTTAATTTGCAGGTGTTTAAAAAGCAAAGAAACGATGATGACGTTTCAAAAAGACCATAATTAATTAGACTTTCTCGTCAGCTTTTACACCGGTTCACAAAAACATGATCATCTCAAAGAAGTACGGCTAAGAAACTCTGGGAGTCTTTTATTTTTAACGACATTCTGGGTAGGTTAACGCGCTCATTTCTTTTATATATATATATATATATATATATGCAAATGCATCTGTATCTGCATTTAAGCAGTTTCTTCAATGTAGCCAGTGATCGTGACAGCCTATCATAAGTTTTCTACTGAACATAGGCTTCCTCCATAGATTGCCTCATAGAAGGGATATTTACCATAGGCAGATGGCAACCGTACGTTTTTAGTATTTAGTTGTTATAAGAAAGACGCTGCTGCACATCTCCTGGTTTGTTTCCCTCTATCGCCTCCTACGACACCCACGAGAATATAATGAGGTAGTACAGGATATTCTTACGCCGTCACTGTTGCGAGTACATTTACGTAACTACAGGTCGTTAGGCATTCTATCTTAGGATTTTAATATAAAGATTTTATTAAACTTGTTTGCAGGTGTTCAACCGTATAAACTGGATTGACTATGCACTGTAATAGCCAATTACTACCAGATGAACTGTTAGCTCCTTTTACACTTTAATTCTTTTTAAAAAATGCGAACACGGTGGAAAACAATCAAGTAAGCCAGAGAAATTATAGTAGAAAGTCAAATAAATTCTTTTAACATAACAAGCGATCTGCGAATATATGTTTGTGTATTGTGTTTTAATTTATAATTGCGTAATTTTCTATAAATTTATTACGCAGATATATAAATCCAGTATGAAATAAGGTGACATAAGCATTCAAAATAACCTTGAAAATATTTTATTCTATTTATTACATAATTTGTACGCTCTACGTTATTATAGCCAGCAGTATGAATGCAACGAATAATGTAAATAATTTAGTTTAATTGCAAAAGGCTTGTAAAACAAGCGGCAGTTTAAATATGCCCGCAATTAACTTGTATCATCCGACAGGATGTGTAGTTAACTTAAGTAGTTTGCGGATGCCGCGACAATTGTACTATTTATTTGGAGAGTGAGACAAAAACAATTGTGATTAAACAATTTTAAAATAAATATAATAACAGTTGAAATAACTGCTGCATACATTTTGCAAAACATTGTATGTCCGCAATATATAGAATGAAGGTTATATAGGAGTGCTGGCTTTTGTCTAATATTCGTTGTCTATAGTGCTGCTTAATAGAACGGGTGGCAAAATCGACAGTAAACATAGAATTATGCAAGCCGGTTTAGATCGGAATGTTCGTGTATAGATCGGACCCACCTTCTCTCCGCATGACCAATGAACTGTGCAGTGGGACGCAATGAACAGCGTACTGTTTATAATTTAAAGAGGCTTTTAAAAGCATGCATATCTTAGATTTTCTCGCTTTCTTATATTGATCCGGGCAATAAAGTAGCGTAAATTTTCATATTTATTATATAACTGGCATGGACATTATTGTTTAAGGTTAAAGAGATGGAAGAGAAATAACAATTTTCCTGTACTATACTACTGGAATTTTGTAATTTCTCTTTAATCTCCGTGGCTTTGTCTTGTAGTGCCGATGAGAGTAAATTATGCTTCGTCAAACACACTGCCTACGTTCGATCTTATCATATAAATTTAGTATCTCCTCATCATTACAAGGCTTGGTTGTGGCGTAAGAGAATCCTTTAACCCGTTTCGTCCCGTTCGTGGTGTGACTAAAAGCTAGAAAGACCGTATTGCTATATTTCAGGTATCTAAAATACCCAGATCGGTGACTGAAAGCAATCAATCAAAGGTTAAGTAAGACATCTGATGTTGCGATCTTCAATTCACCTGCCAACTGTGCTAATTTCCGCAACTCTTTCCTACTTTTACTTTACTAATCTATTCTACTCTATTCTTTACTACTTTCTTACTCTTTCCTAGATGTCCAGCTGACTGTTGCGGACTGTAAAAGGTTTATAGTTTACAAATACGAAATATGTGAAATATTTACATTTTAGGAATCCCTAACATGATGTGTAACTCACGCGGAAAATACGTCAATGATAACAAACATTAGTAACAGTCAATGTAAATATTGTTATTGTACATACAAACAAAACGTATGATCATTCAGTAGTAGCATTATTTAACACTGGTATTTCTGTCACCAACACCAGACGGTCTCAAAAGTCCTACCACTTTGGTACTATAATTGTCTTGTTTGTTTCTGCCGCCAAATACAAAAGCACACATAACTGTGTTCTTTTTTTATAGTATAAGGGTGACAAACGAGCACACAGCCCACCTGATGGTAAGTGGTTGCTGTGGCCCATGGACATCTATATCTATCTTCGATTACGAATCAAAATGCACATGCGTTGTCACCCGTGAGGACTAAGATGGAATGCCTCGTTTCCAGTAAAAAGGGTCTCCGGTTCTCTACACTCACCATACGAAACACAGCAGCGTTAAGCTGTTATTTTACGCAGGTATTCTGTGAAAGCGTGGTCCTTCCCCGGTCGAGCCGACCCATTCGTGCTACAACTATACTATTAATATAGCTGCAGCATGGCTCTACCACGTATGAAAATATTCTGGTCTTAAGGTTATAGAGAGCCAGTATAATTACAGGCTGTGAGGCATTCCATCTTAGTTCTCAGAGGTGACAATGCATTTGTAACTTTCTTTGTTTAAAGATGGCTGCAAGTGTCCCATGAACTGAGGAAGCAACTTACCATTATTAGGTCAACTATGTTCGTTTATCATTTCAGTTTTATTATTTCATAATTATTTTATAAAAGAAAATTTGCATCAAGCTTCCACCTACTTGTACTGAACAAGAGAACCCATCTTGTCCAGTATATCTCATAATATTTTTTTTATAACTGGCTTTACGGCTCTGGGTTCTAGCCCTTCTGAGCCTGAATTTACAATGTATAATTTATCCTTCCTAGTTGCACTGCTTCACAATATGTTGATGCGTCACGTTATGCAGCCCTTGGGAGATTTTGACGGAAACTTGAGCCAGTAGACAGCTGACATTTGGCAATGCTATCTCAATCTTATCTTCAGAATCACATCACCATCAGTACACTTGTTTCACCGTTTCCACTAATAGTTCACATGCGCAGACACAAAATCACACCACTTTTACATATCAAAATCCACTTCAAACTATTATTTAAACAATAATACAGGAGCAGCAATCCGCCGCCGGTCAAGTTCCCGCCAAAAATCTATTCCTCATAATATTAAAAGGATACATACACTTAGTGTGTTTCCAGAGATGACTTATTGAATCAAGATGTGATTCTTGACTGCTGACCGTGTGGAAAAGTTCAAAGTCACTCAACGAGCTATGAAAAGGACTATAATATGCTCGATGTTGCTCAGCGTGATAGAATCCGAAATTAATTTACCCACCGTAGATTCAGAGTAGCCGTCATAGTCCGACGAACAAACGAGCTAATGTGACGATATGCTGACGTTATAGTTTGATGAACCGATAAACTATTAGGAAGAAAGGTTCTCGTGAGAAAGCCTCGAACCGGCAAAGGCAATGGAGAGATACCTTTAACTTTAAAAGGGACGATCAAGTAATATCGAAAACAGGTGGATGTATCAGGGCCGTGCTTTGTGGCAGTCTTTGAGGGAGACCTATTTTTAGCCGTGAGCTTACAATGGACCAAAATGATGATGATCACGATTTAAATTAGCATTTGTTATGTTGTTTTTTTTTTTTACTTTAAACGTTAAGAACCTATCTAAAATAAGTTTTAATATAATGCCGCATTGGCGACCAACGGTTATTAGGATGTACAGAGAAAAATGAAACGTCTTAACATTTAAATTCCGTATTCTCGTTAAGCTATTGACGATATAAAATGACATTCCTTTTATTGGTCATTGCATTCCCGGCGACAACTTCAAGAATTTAAAGACGTCATTGCATTTGCCTCCTTAGTGTCTGTAACCGCATTCACTTCAACTGTTTTACTCTGTTACATAGTATAGCTAATGTATATGATTCATTTATATTACAAATGAATCACCAAACCATTCAGCATCGCGTAGTTCAACTACAACCCAGTGTAACGAGTCGGCGCGGAGACGTCTACATACATACACAAGTCGCTAAATAAATAATCTATTTAAACATGTGATATAATGATGCGTGATCGCTGTCCAGTGCGGTACCATAGTGGAGTCATGTTTACGATTGTAATTTTTAACATCAGTGTATTCTTAGTGAGACGGCATGTGTAACGTGTTACTCGTAAATGTCAAAAGATAATACAAGGTGTGTTTTGTGCTTCGAAATTGACATGTTCTGTGTGAAGCTTCTGCACGATAAAGCTCAGTATGCGATGGCGACGTTTGACGTAAGTCACGTGACCGTTCGGCGGATGTTACTTTTGACATTTACGTGCTTGTAATATTCGTTAGTGTTGATAATATTGTCTCGATGGTACGATTTCCTGTCAAGAGCGCCATGCGAGTAATCGATTAGATGACGTTATCAAGCAGTAATTCACTAAGTTTTTTTTTTTTGAGAACGCGAGGATGGAATTCGATCGTGCGAGCATGTTTCCACGCAGATCGTAAATGTGCGAACGAAATCGTTTCATCTGGGTACTGTCTGAAAACGAAGCGTGGTATTTATATCTACTCAAATGATAACGCAGCGATGAATAGTGTTTTATTGAAATAAACACGTTGAATGCTTGTGTGCGTCTGCAGAAATTTCAACAGGGCTGCCAGTTACTGGGTCTAGACACAATTTTCTAATATCCCTTTTAAGCAACAACTTAAACTTCTACTTGATTATATGCCTCTCACGTTGCGCGCGTTTTACAATTCTTTGTCTCTATTACGTAATCATAAACGACTTAATGGTAGAAGGAAGTAACGTGTAGCTACTTTGGCTTCTAAGAAGCATATCTAGCATTTTAACGTGAATCGCATGCAAAATGAAAAACTGTAGAAACGGTCGTCATCAGACTATGAATATGCACTTTTGAGAAAATGGGGTGTTCTGTCTAAATTAGAGTGTATTAATGCGAAATATATTTTTTTCATAATCAGAAATTGAACAGCCGCGTCAATCACGGTTAACAGCCTTTTAATAGTTAAAAGTTAATAGTTTTTAATATAATATAATAGTTGTGCACTAATTTTTCTTTTAATAATAAAATATTTCCATTTGTGTCCTTGTTATAATTTTAAAAAACGCTAATGACGGAACATATAATAACTATAAACTATTGTGTGGGAACCCATCATGGAATGCGCCTCTATAACACTGTTTCCCACTAAACAAATAAGGAAAAGTGTGTCACTGCATTCTAAGCGTAAACAAAGAAAAAGAGAAATTTTAATTTAATTTTACTTAATTAAATCTATTTATTCTCATTAAACAAGTTTTGTTTGTCAAATAAGACTAGGAAAGTCATAAACATTTAAGTTAATCAATCAACGTTTATTCTTATTATATTGACATAAGTTTTTTTAACTAGTTTTGCTATTTTAGGATGCTCGTTAATAACTTAACGAAACTAACAAAAAATAGTTATAACCTTTTAATTTTTTATTTATTTATGCGGTCGGAAGTTCGTAACAAAAAAGAGGAAAATTTTAATTGTCAGAGATCCGTACGTACAATATTTGCATTCCAGTGTGCGGATCATGGTCAATTAACATTTTTACTTAGTTTTTTATACTAACCATAGTACCTACGCCGAAACTCAATATATCGTAAGCAAGCGTTTTATGTTTTATTTCTCTTGCGGTGGTTTTAAATAGTCGTTTTTATTTCAGTTGGAGGAGGACATGTTCTCATGTGGCGGTGAGGTGCGGGGCGGCAGGGTGCCTGCGCCGTCACTCGGCCCTCCCCCAGAGGCCCTCACTCCTGTGCAGCTGAGGCGGAGGCACGTGGTCGCTGCGATCATACACAGCGAAAACTCATACGTCGCTACGCTTCAAAGGCTTGTCAATGTTAGTAGTGACTAATTTTATTTCTTCAGTACATTGTAAACATCGTTTTATCACACGAAGCGGCATTGTTTTTGCTTGTATATTCTGGTTTAAAGGGTAAGAATAAAATAATTATGGAAATAGGTACCCATATATACACTCGCATCTTACTCATTATACTTATCAACTAATCTGTAGCCTTCTTTGTATATGATATTGGTGGTGATGTCTTAAAGCTATTCTTGATCTACAGTAGCGACTATCAACTTACCAATAGGTGAAATTGAGGCCGTTTGTCCCCGAGGAAACAGTTAAAAGTTTGAGTTATTGATTAAGTATATAAACTTGTACTGCCTTGCCTTATTCATTTCGCTAGCAGATAATGCCATAAGGCATTAAGTAGGTTTTTTGTGAACCATTTCAATTCCGTATTCCGGAATTGTTTCTGGAACTAGCAACTATTTAACGATTTTTGGTTTTTGACAAGAAAAAGATGTGTCTGTCTTATGTCTTTTAACGAAATTAATCTGACTTTTAATCTCTAGAGCTTAAAACTGTAACTTATAAAATATTTAATTTTAAATGCTTAACATTCAACTTTTTGTCTTGGTTCTCAACACTTAATTATACATTGACATTAATTAGCCATTTTAAACAATAAAATTAACAAGTTTTACACTATCGAACTAAAACGAATTCATAAAATATAATCCAAAATTATACTTACGATAAATATAAATTCACACGAGAAATTCCAGACATATATAAGGTACATTCAGAAAGATCAAAATATCAATGAATGTGTAAAATGTTTGAATATCGGAATAACGATATTACTACTCTGAGTTCCGGAATTGAAATATCAGATTTTTTACCGGAATTTCGAAATGCATGCCCCATGTGCTAATAGTAAACAAGAAATAAATCATCTAACCAACCTGTGGTCTTATAGGATAAGTTCGGAGATTGATTTGGATGCAATGTTGGAGATTTTGATACAGTTGATTCTGGCTGAGTTCGAACCTACAGTAATCAAGTTATCTAACTACTAAGCGTCTGTGCACAGTGATGACGATTTATATATTTTAATGAACAGACAAAGCATTAGCGTCGTAACACTTTATTTCTTCCTTAAACTCTACAAGTACTTCTACGTTCTACTCCACTTTCGTAATTTCCATTACTTTGTCAGTAGATTATCTAACGTTACAATTCATATGTATTCTATAAGTTAACGGACATAGAATAGACAGTCGTTAGGTGAATATTGCCAATCGTTAAGGCTTGCTTGATTAAGAATTTATTCCATGATTCATTAAATTCGTTCTCACATTCTTTTTATAAAGGTATTTCATAATGAATGTAATAAAAAATTAAAACCTAATAAATGTATAAAATAAAAATCTTAAACGCATGCGGATAGTTGTGTTTAATTGTATTGTATAACAATTAATATAGCTAGTTCTATCAATATACAGTCTAATGATGATATTACCTGTTATTATGGGATTTTTGCGATTGCAAAACTAAGTATTTATTAAACATATCACTTTTCGAACTCCATCTCTTAACAAATTGCCTAGTATATCCTTTTTTAATTGTAGTCACAGATAGTGTTGGTATATTATATAGGTACTCCATTATATGTTATCACTGACAACACGTACTGGTTGTACACTCTTGTTTTGAAGTTTTGAGGTATACGTGACGAGAAGATGTATCGTAATCTACCAAAAGCTGCCCAGCCGAATTAGATCCGTTGATTGACCTCTCAGTCGTAGATTGATGTACCTAATTGGACAATTTGTCCTAGGTAAACATTTTGTCAACAATTTCGAGCGTAGTGCTTCCAACAACTAATAACCGACATGGACGTTACACATGGCCAAGGCAAAGTCCATGTCATTGAGCATAGAGTTTGAGTCCTCCAGCGATTCTGCCACAATGACTATATCATCGACAAATCGTGTCGCTGTCCTCTGCTGGTCGTATAAAGAAGCTTAAAGTCGCTATAAGCGTCGCGTTAAAAGAAGTATGTGGTGTGCCCATTTGATAGAGTGTGATGACATAGTAAGAAATGCAGGTGTTTCAGGACCGAGCTTAGTGGCACTCTACGGGGGAGGCCTATGTTTAGCAGCGGGCCTGTAATGGGCTGTAATGATGACGATAATTATTATATACTCATATAATGTCCCTCAATTTTCACAAATATATTTTATAATACACTAAAATAGGTTTTATAAAAATAAAATAAAATAATATAATTAAATTTAAGAACTTTGTCCGCGAAAATAACACTATAGTTAAACAATCTAAATGTTCATATATCACTCACGGGACAGTGAAATGGTTTAAGCGGCAGAAGTATATTGTACTTTCGCTCGGTAAGAAAATACAAATTGCATGTTCATTGATAAGTTGGGTTTTAGAGCAGTAGAAAAAGAAAAATGGGAGTAACAAAAATTATTCAAATGAGTTATTAAATAAATACACAATAGCGAGAAAAATCGATATGTGTGGGCAGTTGTCAAATTGGAATAAAATCCAAATGAAATGTAAATTTTAAAAAAGATAGTACCGAATATTATACCTGCTGCTTTGACACTTACCTTAACCTACTATCGCTGATATCACAGTACCGCACGCGTAGAACTGCCGAATTATTTACCTAGCTGCCTATTTAGTAATTTTACGAGCCATTTATTTACTACATTGCTTGAGTATTTTTTGTACTGGCGCTGTAAAATTAAATAATTGACCAATTTGTTATTAATTACTGTGTATGTTTTACTGCTACACTAATTTAACGACCGCCAAAAATAATTCTAGTGCTCGTTCATTTTTTCAACTTACCGTAATAACCGGCCTTATGTTTAAGTAACATTTATTCCCTTATAAAAAAAAATTGAAGATCAAAAAAAATTATATAATTTTTACGTGGTCGGTTCGGTCGTTACGAATAGGTCGGTACGACCTGGGAAGGGCCACGCTCTCACATTATACCAGCGTTAAATAGCAACTTAATGCTGCTGTGTGTCGTATCTAGGTCCTAGGAGGTCCTATTTATTGGAAACGAGGCATTACATCATAGTCGTCAAGGGTAACAACATTTTGATGTATATAGGTTACAATATCACTTAACGTCAGGTGGAATACGTGCTCATTTGCCACACTTATTCACATACTTAAAATACTGTTGTCGCTGAGCACCTGTGAAGCTCTAGTTCTCGTTAAAGGTCATGGTAATGGTACCATTTCAAATTTTGGCTAACCCTAAATAAAACGTACAATCTAGGCAAAGGGTAAAGAGAGTGGGGTTGAAATTGATTTCGCAATGCTTCGGCGACGTAACACTACATTTACTCACTCCTTGTACTCTTAAACTTTAAACGGAACGGTTTCATCTAAAATGATTTGGCGCGAATTATGCTCGGTTTTAATTCAATACTTTGCAGTGCTAGCTCAGTAATTAAATGCTGAGTTACCACCTGCCCGGCGGTGAAGGAAATCATCGTGAGGAAACCTGCATTTTGAAGAATAAAATATTTAGAGAATATCTGAAGTCTGCCAACCCGCACTTGGTCACTGAACACACACTTTATTCTCTCAAAAATGAGATAAAGCCTGGCCCAGCATTAAGTCGTAACTTTACTCAAATTAACTTTTATAAATCGTCTAAGAATATAATCATTATAAGGTGATTATCGGTTCCCTAACTTCATTCAAATGTTGAATTATTACATTACTGTCGCATTTAGCTAAAGCAAATACTCTGTAATTACAAGGTCGTTACAAGTATTTGGTTTTCGCAATAGCGTTCAGCAGAAATAACCATGTTGTCAATGAAACCTTGGTACAAGTATTGCAAACGCGTCGCGACCGCCGACCGGTTAAGTATTTATCACTCTCCTCCTCCTTTAAAATGAAACAACGCATTAGCAACCATTTAAGTAATTCCGCGCTGTTTTTATTTACACATATAGGTACACAATTTTTAGTTTTTAATATCAACACTATTAACTCAAAAATATTCTGTGACATAAATATAATTTGCAGCCTAGTGCGGAATGATTTCTGCCACCAGCCAGTAGTGCAACCTGTAATATTTTCCGTTTTAAAGGAAAAGAAAACTATTATAACTAATTAGTAATTACAGGCTCCGACAAATTTCATTTAAGTTTTACTTCCTCTGAGGTGACGACACAACTGTGATTTTTTTGAAGTTAATTGCCGGTGTCCATGGGCTACTATATCCACTCCCCTCATATGGAATTTAGCACACTTGTCACACTAATATTGAAAAACCTACACGCGATATACTCTGCCAACTAACCACTCTGGAAACCTACTGAAGGGAGTCATGCAAAAATCCCGAAATCAACCACCACGTACCAATACGTCGACGCCGACGCTCCAGCTTTTTCTAAAAAAACATATGCCCAACAAGAAAAAAGGTTTTACTTAAAACATTCCAAAAAGTCACCATCATCATTTTTTATTTAATTTTTATTAAAATTAAATTTTTAGAAATAGACTTAAAAGTCTACATACCCCATCCCAATTTTGAAAAGGTTCTTGGAGCAGACAAGTCTGCGCACTGTCCCAATGCGTGTTAGCGGATTGAACATATTGTTACGTAATTAACTTCACTGCGAAGCATGCAGTAAATCAGCACTTAAAATGAAATTAGCAATTGATCGGTCTCAGATTAGTCGGGTACTACCAAACTACCTTCATGATAATCTAAACCCGAAAATTAATAATTTGGGTTTGCGGAATTATTGGCCCTGGAGATCCAAGACTTAAAATTTTAAATAATCTTGATTATTTTGCATTTTTTGCAGACCTCAAATTATCTATTTCTCAATGTCTCCAACCGCATAAAAAAATAGATTAAGACATCGATTACACTTGTAGTGCTAAATCGTGCTAGCATTAAAATTTGCTCAGTTAAAATTGATTTAATTAATTACATATTTCTCTGTCAGTCCGACATTTTATAACCTGTTTTCTTTTAGCTCGGCGTTTCAATCAAAACATAATCGAAAGCAAATCTACGATCAATAAAAAAAACACGTGTCGTGATTATGACGTGAAACGCGCGATGAAAAGAAATTGTTCCGGTTTTCAAATTGAATGCATTTCATGTGCAATTAAATCGCTTTATTAATAAGGTTTTAATTGCACAAGTAGAAGATTAGAGGATTTCAGTTAGAGTCAGAGTTAATTGATACAAATTTTCACAGAAACAAATGTTTTAAAAAAACTGATTAAAATTTTAATTCGTGTTTTACTAGAATTTGAACAACCAAATAATAGTTTTATTTAAACATGGTTGATACACTATTAGCACAATACTATTTTTTTATTGTAATTATTCATTCATTCATCCATTACAGCCTATCAAAAGTCCACTGCTAAACATATGGCTCCCTCATAGAATGCTTTATATCCATTGCTACAATTGCCACGTGTGGTGAGCGAGTTGTCAACGGCAGTTTGCATCATTATTTTGAGCTTTTATCAGAAAAATGCTTCTGCACATTATAACCTGTTTCAGTTTCCCTCTGTCATATGAACGGACACCCATGGGATAGTATGGGGTGGTTCTCTTACCCTGCAAATACACGGCATAATATATTGTTTAATAATATGACTATTTTTCTTACATTTTTGTGTAATATACAAATCATAAGCATTATCCGATATCATCTTGGCGCAGCCCACTATTTGACATTATTGTCTTCCAAGCAGCTTACAAGCCGTACGAGATGTTTAATACACATTTAAACGTCAAAATTTAAAACAAATAGCCCAGCATGTCCAATTGTTGAATATCAAAAAGGAAATAAGGACTACACAAGAACATAGCCCCTGCCTTTGGTGGGAGAATTAGCCTTATTAGTCACGCTCAAGGTAGGCGGGTTAGAGATCGCAGTACCACCAGACGTTTCGCATTTTGTATGATGTTCTTCTTCGCCGGTCTGGATTTGTCTGGCGTAAACGAAATGGTTACATAGGTATATCTCGGTTATTCGATCTTTTTGGCGTATCCCACAGTCGCGTATTACAACACCTACGTGATGAAATTACCAGTGATTAAGGACTTTAGTTTTTCAGTAAGACTAAGGTACCTTATTAACTAGCTACCCATATTAAATTACTACCGATCTAAGCTCTTTAATATTACGTAAACAATACCCATAAAGCGTCACTTGAAACGGTGAAAGGTGTCGATAAAATCAATTAGAGTAAGGCGTCCGGATGCATTGCGCAGTACTTAGATTTTTCGCAGGTACTTGTTTAGTGATTTCTCTATTTAAATAGATTTAGAAAGTACTTACTTAAAGATACAAAAAATAAACACAATCGTTACATAATGTGCGTCGGTTGCAAATTTACTATCACTGCTTTGTGCTCATGGTGAAACGTAATATAGAATCCCAGCAGGTTTGCCGTGTAATGTGGAAGTTGTCAGTCAACGTAGAACGTGTTAGTTATGTCTATTTACACTATTTCTGAAATACTAAAATAAAGTGTCGTGAATTTAATGTATTACAAAAGTAAAAATAATACGTTTAATTCATTAAACATACCGTTTTCCAACATTTTCTCAACTTTTCATCATTATGAACCTTTTTTATCACAAAGTCTGAGTCGATAAGCAGCAGAAAAAATTGCGAATTTGACAAATCTTAAAAATCTTTTTTATTACTTACATTGTCGAATTGTTCGCTTACTATGTTTAAGTTTGTTTATATTAAGTTTGAGCAATAGATTTCCATGTAATGGCGTGGCAGCACAAGAAAATCTTGCTTCCCCATACAATACTGTTGGTGTCTTAAAAGGCGACAGAGTAATTTACGTGGAACCTATGGAAAGGGCCTATGTTCAACAGTGGACTTTTGTAGGATATATGATAATGGTTGATGATTGTGGAATATAATATTAATAATAATAAAAAAAGTAATAAAATCAATAAAAATAATCAGCTTTGTACAGATTTTCTAAACATAATTTAAGGAATAAGGCAAAATAAAGCAATGTTTTTTCTTTCTCAAAAACAACCTGTCCTCTCCATTGTCTCCAAACTACGAAACTAGGACAAGTGAGACGGGAATTGTCAAAATTCCACAGATGTTGTACGTAAATGAAATGAACAATAAAAGTTGTTTGGCCCACTTTGACATTGTTCACTCATTTTACATGGAATAAATTTGCATATTAGGAAGTGGGGCAGTTTGAATGGGTATTATTTGCAAGTTGACTGTACGGGGCCATCGCTTTATTAAATGGCGTCGCTAGTTTATATTTCGTCTGATGTTTTATTATCACTGGTTATTTAGTACTACGAATGGTTACTGTACAAGATAACTGTTCGCAACCCACAGAACGAATTAAGTTTGATAGAAAAAAGATTATTATCAACGTTCAAACAGAGCTTATCATCATTATTGTCATCCTTACAGCTCTTCACAAGTCCACTGCTGAACATAGACCTTCCTCAAAGAATGCCCCAAAGCACGATCCTTAGCCGCATTTTTTTTATCAGGTCTTCACTTCATCTAGTGGGAGGCCGCCCTGCACTATGCTTACCGATACGAGGTTGCCACTCGAGAATTGTCCTCCCCATCGGTTGTCGGTTCATCGAGCTGTATAGCATAGTACAGTAAATAGCACAACTAAACAATACTATTTATATAAAATTGATCATTATGATGATGCGATATCACAATTTCGATCATTTTCATCTGAATGTAACGTTACGAAAGTTTAATTCTTAAGTCCTAATGCTTACTCAATATGTTGAAGATAATTCACTTACAAGTCAATACACGAACGTTGAACAACATTTGCAAACAAAACATTAAATACTATTTCGAGAGATGATGCGATATGACGACGTAACAAGTTTTTGTGTCCGTTTCTAAACGACAAAGTTCGAGGTAAACGCAAAGTGCTACTTGAATGTTCCAGTGATTTTCATTGGTCTTTGAATTTTTCACAATATGGTAGGTGTTTTTTTTTTTATGTACGTTTCGCACAGACGTGTTAAAGTAATAAAATATAACTTTTTTACGACCTTTTATATCTTCTCTATGTATAAAAATCAATTGCTGTCCGTTAGTCTCGCTAAAACTCAAAAACGACTCAAACGATTGTGATGAAATTTTTCGTGTGTTATTGAATGGGTCCCTAGATGGTTTAGATTTGGACCTGGTAGGTGGCGCTATTGTCGAGATCCAGGAACCACCCTTCCGAAAATGGAACGGATTGCTAGTGATGTTATAAAAATCATATTTAAGCAAATTGTATGCCTTACCTGTTTCAATTGTTTTTTTCCGTTATAAAATGTTTTGAAGCGCCACTAGCCTAATGGCAGGGTGCAGACCGACCGACCGAATCCGCCATTCAACTACTGTCGTAAACCACTCCTAACACTATCTGTTACTATCACTATCCTACACGTTCTATATTAAGAATGTTAAGAATTTAGCCCAAATTGACAAGATCTCTTGATAATGTATTCTTGTAAATAACAACTTTGATATATTGAACTCAAATCTTGCTTAACAGGACTACAAGAAACCTTTAGAGGAAAGCAGTCCGGCGATCTTAAACGCGAGCAAGATCCAGACGCTGTTCCACCGGTTGCCCGACATCCTGCAATGCCACCTTCACTTCCGCACCGCTCTCGCCGACTGCGCGCGCACGTGGGACCGCGACGAAAAAATTGGTGAGAATCAAGCTACATTTTTGCGTGTCACACATTACGACGCACGACTTTGTATAAAACTGTACGAATTAGCAGGCTTCACCATCCTTTCCATCCATTACAGCCTATAAAAGTCCACTGCTGAACATAGGCCTCCCCCATAGTATTGCCGCATAGGGGATTTTTGCCATAGTTGACACGCCTGGCGAGCGGGTCGTCAACCGCTGCTATTTATTATTTAGAATTGTTATCAGCAAGATGCTGCTGCCCATCCCCTGTTTCAATTTCCCTCTGTCGCGGCTTACGACACCCACGGGACACACACGATATGGGGTAGTGGATATTCTTACACCGCCACTACACGGCAAACCAGGCTTCACAGATCCGCCGACATATAAATTTTCTGAGACATTCTTGCTTACTCACGTTTTTCACGTAAATGCCAAGAATACCGGCGGTGATCGACGTCGGTTTTACTCGCGTACACGTTGCGTTTACCAGGTGGTGGGACTCCCTTTTTGTCTAAGATTCCGTCTGGATAGGTACCACCCTGTTACCTATATCTGCCGCCAAATCGCATTGCTTGTTGAAAGGTATAGATATATCAGTATAATAACAGGCTGTGATGCATTCCAGTAAGTGCCCAGAGGTTAAAAACTCATCTGCAGCCTTTTTTATATGAAGTTGGGTGCGTACGTCCATGGACTACAGTGCCCACTTATTATCAGGTGAACTGTATTATCTTTATATTATCTTATACGTGGTAGAGCCATGCTGCAGCTATATTAGTAGTATAGTTGTAGCACGAATGGGTCGGCTCGACCGGGGAAGGACCACGCTCTCACAGAATACCAGCGTAAAATGGCTGCTTGATACTGCTGTGTTTCGTATGGTGAGTGTAGAGAACCGGAGACCCTTTTTACTGGAAAAGAGGCATTCCATCTTAGTCCTCACGGGTGACGACGCATCTGCATTTTGATTTTTTATGAAGATAAATGTAGATGTCTACAGGTCACAGCAACCACTTACCATCAGGTGGGCTGTTTTTGATATTTATTATGATATTTTTAAACACTCGTCAGAATAGCACGGCTTTTAGTCGTCGGTTTAATTTTATTTAAGTGGTGTATACCTGTTTGAAACCGAAATTGCTATTTGCAAAACAAAAATCCATCTAACATAATCAATCATTTTCCGCAGGCGAGGTCTTCTTAAACGCGTTTTCAAAAGCGGTGGTGCTCGACGTGTATTCGGACTTCATAAACAACTTCTCATTGGCGATGGAACTAGCCAAGATGGAGTCGAAACGCAAGTCTGCGCTTGCAGATTTTTTCAAAGTGAAACAGATCAGCGCCCATGACAGGCTTTCATTCTTCGGTCTCATGGTGAAACCGGTGCAGCGATTTCCGCAATTCATCATGTTTTTGCAGGTCCGATTTTTATTTATTTTTTTATAAAAATTATATCTAATAATCACATATATGCCTCATCCTTACTTGAATACTATATTACATTGTATGCAACTACTTGAGGTTATTACAGTTAACTATTTGAGGCTATTGAAGTTAAAATCATCCTAATTTAAATAGAAGCCAAACATAAAAATATCACTGCAAGACTATAATACCTAATTTGACCTCATTTTAAGTTGATCGCACAAAAGTTAGTACCTGCTTAAAACCTGATTGATATGCTGGGTTAATTTTAACTTCAAGTCATCAAAAGCTTCAGTGCCCCAGAATCTCGGGTGCTCCATAATGCTCGAAACATCGGAAGTATAAAAATAAGAGACTCCGCACACTGCAGACTTTCTCGTGCGAGAAACGGGCGAGAGTTTAGTCGGTTTCTTAATCAGTATTAAGATGTATGCAAGTGTGCATACTATAACGATTAGTTTCGCCCGATAGAATCAGTTTAATGGACTATACGATTCCTTTCAAACTAAACTGTTGGTCAACTATCGGCCAACTGCTAAATCAGTATGCCGCTCATCGACGCGTGCATACACGCCGATTGTTTAGTCGGCCGACTTTGTCGATAACGTCACTTCGCTCAAAATTGCATGCATCAAAATGGCGCTCCTTGTCTAATCATCTATTTGGAAGTTGGAAAACGACCCGCGCTTTATATGAAACAGCTAAAAGGGTAATTTTATGTAATTTTAAAGAAAAAGCTGGGGAAAGAAGTGATCTGTCTCACTGTATATAGGATGCACCCAGTATTCTCGGTTTCTCTTCTTGATCCGTCTCCTTCGTTATAATAAGAACATTTCTGGATAATATTTTAGGTTTCATTACGTAACACTACTCTGTTCAATAGCTGCTTACTAACTACAATTTTTTCGCAAACGATCGGCCAACTTTTGGCTAGTGTGCGCACTCACCACTAATCCGATTGTTTTTTAATTGGCCCAATGTGCGCACTAGTAGCCCAACCCCACTAAACTCTCACCCAATAGAAAGTCTGCAGTGTGCGGTGTCTCTAAGACAATCCTGATAAAACCTGTAAAATTAATTTTACATAAAGTATATAAATTCAAAGCAGTTGTAACGAAAGAAATACAAATATTTTTTGATACTACTGTCTCTGTTATTTTAGGTATTTGATGTAATTTTACAAAGATACCATTAATTACAACGCAGGACCTCTTAAAACACACGCCGCCGGGCCACGCCGACAGAGTGGCGCTACAGCGGGCACTGACGCGTCTAGAGGCTTTAGCTGAGGCGTTGAACGAGAGGAAACGAGACGCCGAAAGGACGCAGGTAAGGCAACACAATAACGCCAAATTCGTTATCAGCTATGAAAAAACCAAATGATGGAACTAAGCCTGTATTTAAAAGGAACCTTTTTTTTGTTTTAATGTTAAGTATAACATTTTTTGGCACAGGCTCGGAGCGAATGGCTAATGATAATTAATATTCAAAATGTAGATAATGGACTGAACAAAAACATTAAAACTGGTGATTCGCTGTGTGATTATAAAGCATGATACTGTTGAAGTTACATTAACATGGACATACAAATTATGTAATAAAAACCAACACGGCTTAAATATGGATGAATAAGAGAACTAATTGTATTTTTATTTCTACTTTTTACCTATATCAGTAGTTTTTGTTAAACTTCAACATTGTGAAATATTTTTCAAAGTATAAAATGTATTTATTTGTTTGTTATTTTAGAGACATGGTACAATAAGTTGTTGCATTATAACTTTTAGGATCATTTACATGTCTTACCGTATCGGCGTAGAAATAGTACAATTATAAATTCATAGTTTTTTTTACTGTCTCTTACTCTTTATCCGCGTTCCACCGATATGAAATTAAAAAAAATGTTCGTCTTATTCCTCGCACATTTTTTTCTTATCACTATCACAACAAACATCGTTACAGCCTATAAAACCCCTGCTGAACATAAGCCTCCCCTATATATTGCCTTGTAGAGGGTATAATTGTCATAGTTGCCACGCTTGGCAAGCGGGTTGGCAACCGTAGTTTTTTATTTTTAGTCGTTATTAAGGAGACGCTGCTGCTCATCTGATGTATTTCCCTCCTCTAGACGTAAGTGATAACTAACATCACGGTAAAAAAGTCACCGTGATCAGCCCAAAAGTCACGATAACGTAGTTAGTTCTAAAATATTGTTGTTTTTTCGCACCACCACCGTACTATTTTCTCCGTTATTTCTGTCACTGATTTGACCAAACAAAATGAACTACGCGTACCTTGTTACTGTGTAACAAGGTACGCGTACCGTGGAACTGAACAGTGGATCAGTCGCCTCTTACGAAACCCACGGAATGATATGAATATTCATACACCGCCACTACACGGTAATTGATAATTTCTCAAAACGTTGCATTTATCGACAACGTCTTGCAATCGTCGTTACTCTAGCTCTCACTTAACCTTCATACAAATAATTCGATATTTTAATTGTTGATATTTTTTTATTTTTGGATAAGAACATAGTAATGACTCTACCATCATTCAAAAAAATTGTCTTTGGCCTGACCTACCATGCTCTGTAACTTGACCACAGTTCTAAGTTTGTCCAATAAAATGTCGGGGCTTAAGAGGTTAATCAAATAGTAATATTTACAGCACCTATTAAGAAAATATGAAGTATATAAAGTTTCAATTATTCTAAATAGTAATTACATAGTATTATTGGCCAGAAAAGTTCTAGAACATGGCATAATTAATTTAAACAATCAACAAGTGGGATACGGAAAGTAAAGACTGTAAGAACTTCCGAAGGAGGCAGAGTAATAGCCGAAATAAGAATTTTAATTTTTTTGGTTTTTGGCCATTTTGACCCCCTAGGAGTGTAATGAGAACTTTTTGCCTCTATCCAACCATGACCCCCGTCACATCCTCTATATGATAGGCTATCCAAACTGACTAGACCTAAAGTTCGAGTCACTCCCCAACTTATTTCTAAAGTTTTTCCTTCCACTTACTTTCAAAAATATGTTTGTGTCATAATGTGGTTTATAATTATTTTTAAATCAAAGCTATTAATTACCCAAATTGTTGCATGTTTACGTGATACAGTCTTAATGTTGCCAAAACGTTAAAAAAAATAATTCTATTTCTCTTCAGTTGTTTTTCCCTTAAAATTACATTAAAAAGTATCAGTACATAATTAGTATGCATCATTGATGTAAGAGAAATAAGTTATGGAATTTTTTTCTTTTAAGTATATACATATATGTATTAGGTTAGCTATTTAATTAAAAGATAATTTAATTCGGTTCAGCCGTTCCCGAAAAATCGGTGAACATACATAGAAACATACTACTACACTACATTATAGAATACAATTCGTTTTTACACTGTAAAATTAAATTACAACTTATTGTTACTATTATCTATTATCACGCAATAAATTAAAAAGTTTGAAGTGGTATGATGAAGGTATGCATTTAGTGAATACGTATTACGTATATTTGGTTTAAATAAACGTGTGTGGTGGCGGCAGGCGTTCCGCGCGGCGCTGCGGCGGCTGACGCGCGGCGGCGTGGCGGGCGCGGGCGGCGCGGGCGGCACGGCGCGCTTCGGCGCCGCGCGCCTGCTGGCCTCGCGCGCCGACCGCCGCCACCTGCTGCGCCAGGACGACCTGCTGCAGCTGGTCAGTCACACCTCGCCCGCCGCATGCACACATCACCTCATCTCATCTCACCTCACCTCACCTCACCTTACCTCACCTCGCCCACCTTACCCACCATATATTATTGTCGAACACACCAATCGATTCAAATTAGATTCCAATCTTTTTTTATCGAATAAGGATGACAAGAGGTAGTCTCGAGGTGGCATAGTTTAGTGGATCTGTAAGCTGATGAGTGGAAATGAGCCAGCCATATAGCTCGAAAAACCAACAATCGATGGCGAAAAAAGAGTCTCGAGCGGCAGCATTGTAGTGGGAAGCGCAATGTTGGATGACTCCCCACTAGATAATGTGACGTCCTGATGAAACACTCAATGAATGGAATGGAATGGTACCTATCTTCAGCAGTGGACTTGTGACAAGCAAATTGAGAATTGAAGATGTAGTTGTATTGTCACATCTTAGGATTAAAATAGAATGCCGTCTCGTTCCCAGTAAAAAGAGTTTCAACACTCACCATACAAAACGCAACAGCATTAAGCTTCCTACCTTGTGAAGGGGAGGAAAAAATTGATTTTTATGCTAATATTCAGGAATAGCGCAATCCTTCCAGGGACGAACAGACTCATTCGTGTTGCAACCATAATATAATCTTTTTACGAACATTTATAATCTTTACTTTTGATTAAAAATGTTTCATTTTTTTTAAATTTATTTCATGTTAGGCGATATTTTACTTTGGTTTTTAGCTTAGCCAAATATATAAAAAAAATTGTTTAGCAAAATTACCAAATGTTTAGCATTGTATTTTCCCAACAAGTAACATTGATTTAATGAAAAACCTTAATTAGTACCTATTCATTTTTCTTGTCTTATTGAAAACTGATAAATATTAAGTTATTACGACTGAGTAGCTTATGTCAAAATTTGAGTTGCTCCATAAATATTTTCGTGGACAGCGCTCATATAAAATTTCGTTTGTCCAGGAGTTCAACCAATCGGGCGCGCTGACGAAGTGCAAGCCGCGGAGGCTGCTGCTGCTTAACGACCTGGTGGTGTGCGTGTCGGTGGGCGCCGGCGGGGACGACGCCGAGCGCCTCGGCCTCAAGTGGGCGCACCCCGTGCACGACGTCGACGTGCTCGACACCGGCACTTCGCCTACGCTCAGCCGCGTGCTCGCGCAAGGTAAATTCCGCCTTATTTTCACTGCGATAAGATTCACTGTCATTGATATCTTACTTATGGACCAATATTGGCACCTTGCCACGTTCAACCGCGTGCTCGCACTGCTGGCCGATTGAGCTTCTTCATCCGGCCAGCAGTGAAGGACGTCTCAGTTCCATAGGTCATCACTGGCAACACGCACTGGTTGTACAGTCTCGTTTTCCAGTTTTGAGGTATACCTGACTAGAAGATGTGCCGTAATTTCCCGAACGCTTCCCAGTCGAGTTAAATCCGTCGATTGACCTATCAAAATTGGACTTACCTAGTTGGACTATTTGTCCCAGGTAAACATACTCGTCAACAACTTCGAGCTTAGTGCTCCCAACAACTACCGGCATAGGTGTTGTTAACGTGGTTGTTATACATGATCTTTGTTTTGTCCATGTTCATTTTAAAACCTATACGTTGGGAGGCACTATTGAGGTCATTGAGTATAATCCTTAGGTCCTCCAGCGATTCTGCCATAAGGTATCCTTTCCAATCCAGAAACTTGAAAACGTCTTCCAATGCAGCGGTGAAGAATTTCCAGTTGGGTAGGCTTCGTACTCTGGTTCTGTACTCGGACAGCCATCGTAGCCCTACTGTACAAACACTTCAGCACCTCGATATACCGACAGTCAACTTGGCACCGCTGAAGAGACTGCAGCACCGCCCAAATTTCGACGGACTCGAAGGCTTTCTCACAGTCGCCAGACATAGTGGCAAATTGTACTCTTCGGACTTGTGTACAATTTGCTAAAGGGGACAGTTTCCACGAGCTTGTCATTTATATCGTCCACTTCATTGTAGTCTTCTAGACACTGAAAACGGTTTTGTAACTCGAGCGGAAAGGTTTCCGGACTTTGGATTAGAGCACGAGGGGGACGGAGTGTAGACTTCATTAGGCGAGACCTCTTCAACTTAACGTTTAGGTTCAGTGTGCCTCTAACCATTCAGTGATCGCTACCAGTTTTCAAGCTCGCGATCACTGAGACATCCCTGAACAGTTGTCGTCTGGTGATCATAATGAATTCAATCTCATTTTTTGTCGAACCGTCGGGGCTTGACCAGGTCCACTTCCTGTGGGGCCGCTTCTGGAAGAAAGAGTTCATCATAAAGAGTCCCTCTTTCTCCATGAAGTCGGCCATTACAAATTTTCCTAATTTCAGCTCACCGTTCTCTCTTGTGCCAAGTTTGGCTTTGAAGTCTTCCATCAACACCATATAGTGGGTTTTAGAGGAATGCATGGCTCTAGATATATCCTCATACATTTCCTCTACCTCCTCTCTTTTTATACGTGGTAGAGCCATGCTGCAGCTATATTGGTAGTATAGTTGTAGCACGAATGGGTCGGCTCGACCGGGAAAGGACCACGCTCTTACAGAATACCTGCGTAAAATAGCAGCTTAATGCTTGCTGTGTTTCATATGGTGACTGTAGAGAACCGGATGCCCTTTTTATTGGAAACGAGGCATTCCATCCTAGTCCTCGCGGGTGACAACGCATCTGCATTTTGATTCGTAATCGAGTATAATGTCCGTCTGTAGGCAACAGCAACCACTTACCATCTGGTGGACTGTGTGCTCGTTTGTCACCTTATCCTATAAAAAAAAATCCTCGTCGGGATGTGCTGAGGTTGTTGCGTAAACCTGTATGACCTTCAGCGAATACCGTTTGGTGATTCTAAATATAAGGTACGCAACCTTGGTCGACACACTCTCAATCTTTACAACATTGTTAATGAGAGACTTGTGGACGATAAATCCGACACCTCCTTGGGACAGATGGTCGCTCTCCCGGTAATAGAACAAGTTGCCGGATTCGGGGATTACCATGTCCTCCCCCTCTCTTAGGACCGCAGATAATCCTATAATATTTCAGTGCAACTTATCTACCTCTTCTTCCAGCTCCAGAATCTTTTCGTCAGTCCTCAGGGTCCGTGCGTTATGTGTTGCCAGGTCGAGTCGTTTTAGCTGGCAACCGAACCGCCACCGGAAATTCTTAGCATCCCCTGCCCCGCCGTTACCATGGTTGCCACCGTAGCCAGGAATAGCGGGGCCGCCGGGGACTAGGGGTCGTCTATTCGTAACTTTAATCATGGGGGGGGGGGGTATATTGCCATAGTTGCCACGCTTGGCTTGGCTTGGTTGGCGACCGCAGTTTTTTTATTGTTGTTTTGCTGTTATCAGAAAGATGCTGCTGCCCATCTTCTGCCTCAGTTTCCCTCTGTAGCCTTTTACGACACCCACGGGAAGATATATTAGGTAGTGGGTATTCTTACCCGCCACTACACGGGCCACTAACTTCTTATGTGCACGATTATTAGGTTCAATTTACTGTCTTTTCTCAAGGACGATACAAATAATTCACGCTCAGCTATCTCGTATGCATTGTGCATACAATACGGTTAGGTTCTATTGTTTGTGCCTTATTAGCTACAAGGGATAGAGTAGAATGTATTTCGCATACTCACGCAAAGTACGCTTCGGCTAATGAATTTAGGTAGCTGATTAGTATCATTTTACGTAGGTTGTCGTTGATTTTTATTTACGCTTATTGATTATATTTTTATTACTAATTGCTCACGCTTAACGGTAATTGATAAAAAAAATACTTTTTTAATATTTTATATACTCGTATCAGTTAACTTATATTTTGTAATTAAAATCTAAATATAATATAAAATTTTCTACATCATCATAACATATAAGAATCCGATAATATATTTACAGGGATGAATCGCAGCGGAAGCTTACGTTCGAATTCTGGTATCAACGGGCATAGCAATACGTCAACGGGTGATTCTCTATGTAATGAGATGTCAGCGTTAATGCACGACTATGAAATGGTGTCGAGGATGGCCGATTTAGCGGCTTCCTTGAAAACACCGTACCCAGAGTTGGCACCGGAAATGTTCAAAGCCCTACTACAAAATATACAAAAGAGTATACAGGTCAGTATGATTACAATTGTTATCTTTTTACTTTAATCTTTTGTGAGAAAATATTTAACCAAATTAATGGCTCATGTACGAGCAGGCGAAAGGTATAATTTTGTTGAATTATGCATGCTATATCATCTAAATATTTATTGTATTTAACATAATGCATAAAAGCATAAGTGACCGCACAAGTTTCTCACTGACGTAAACATTTCAAACATCCTATTAATGTAGTCATTTGATCTGTACAGTATTTGCATTTTAATGTGGATCAACACATTTTTCGACTCGAGTATCTATGATCAATGTTTAATTATTTATTTTATTTCTTGGTTCTATTTTGCTATTATATGTCAATATTTAGAAGCAATGTGTGCTGCAAGTAATTTAAAAAAAAATACTTTTATATGTTACGAGCGGGGAGAAAAAATAATTGATAAACAATCCTTTTAAATTTGGAATAATTAAATTGTTTAATTAGGAATGATGATACATTTATTGATGTTGAGTGATATACATCTTTCAAATAAATTTGTCGGTATGATACGAGCACCACCTACTGTAAGTTAATTGTACTATGCTTATAACCTTCATGAACGGTATGGCAGCGCATAAAATACGAACAACAAATACTGCTTTATTTAAATGATTTATAATTAAGTTTAATGTCTGTGTATATTGCTATCATCGCACTGTACTTCGAGCTTACCCGTATAGATCGCGTAAGGAGCCACTCATTAATTACGTTAGGATGATTTTGGAGATTTTTGATAATAATATAAGAAGGATTGTGGTTGTGTCTTTATGTTTTCCTTTTATGTTTATGTTCGTTAAATTTGTTTGTAATGGTGGTATAACTGGGCGATTTCAGTTATTTTAAAAGTTTCTTAGTTTTTAAAATAGTTTGTGGAACAATACAAATACATAGGAACATGATAGTGGTAGATATGGATTGTATCGTAAGCAAAATATTTGCTCTAGTGTCGTTATTCTTAGGGGGGAAAAACAGGGACAATACAAAGAAATCTTTTTGTATTATCGAAACGTTGTCAGGAAATCCTCTTATTGTCATATTACTTTCGAAATTCCATATAATTAATACATATAGATATTTATATTTAAATTGTTATTAATTGTAAAATGTTTGCGGTCGATTTTTTTGTATTTCCCTTAAAACAATTGAAAAAAAAAATATGATGCGGTGTGTCATAAAAATTGACGTTTAAAGAGTGAAATCGTCAGCGAACGCGCATAGTATTAACGGATTGGTCGTGGTTACACAGAAGAAAGACGATGAGATGGCGTGGGTGGATTCGTGCTGCCTGCAGCTGACGATCCGCGGGCGCGAGGAGCCGCTGACGTTCCGCGCGCAGGAGCCGGGCGCGCGGCTGGCGTGGGCCACGGAGCTGCGGCTGGCGCAGCTGGCGCAGGCCGCCGCCAACTCGCCCGCCTGGCGCCTGCCGCACCACGCCGCGCCGCACGCCGCGCCGCTCTACGTCACCGCCGCGCCCGCCTACTGCTCCAAGCAGCTCACCGAGGTAAGTCGGCCGCGTGGGCCACGGAGCTGCGGCTGGCGCAGCTGGCGCAGGCCGCCGCCAACTCGCCCGCCTGGCGCCTGCCGCACCACGCCGCGCCGCACGCCGCGCCGCTCTACGTCACCGCCGCGCCCGCCTACTGCTCCAAGCAGCTCACCGAGGTAAGTCGGCCGCGTGGGCCACGGAGCTGCGGCTGGCGCAGCTGGCGCAGGCCGCCGCCAACTCGCCCGCCTGGCGCCTGCCGCACCACGCCGCGCCGCACGCCGCGCCGCTCTACGTCACCGCCGCGCCCGCCTACTGCTCCAAGCAGCTCACCGAGGTAAGTCGGCCGCGTGGGCCACGGAGCTGCGGCTGGCGCAGCTGGCGCAGGCCGCCGCCAACTCGCCCGCCTGGCGCCTGCCGCACCACGCCGCGCCGCACGCCGCGCCGCTCTACGTCACCGCCGCGCCCGCCTACTGCTCCAAGCAGCTCACCGAGGTAAGTCGGCCGCGTGGGCCACGGAGCTGCGGCTGGCGCAGCTGGCGCAGGCCGCCGCCAACTCGCCCGCCTGGCGCCTGCCGCACCACGCCGCGCCGCACGCCGCGCCGCTCTACGTCACCGCCGCGCCCGCCTACTGCTCCAAGCAGCTCACCGAGGTAAGTCGGCCGCGTGGGCCACGGAGCTGCGGCTGGCGCAGCTGGCGCAGGCCGCCGCCAACTCGCCCGCCTGGCGCCTGCCGCACCACGCCGCGCCGCACGCCGCGCCGCTCTACGTCACCGCCGCGCCCGCCTACTGCTCCAAGCAGCTCACCGAGGTAAGTCGGCCGCGTGGGCCACGGAGCTGCGGCTGGCGCAGCTGGCGCAGGCCGCCGCCAACTCGCCCGCCTGGCGCCTGCCGCACCACGCCGCGCCGCACGCCGCGCCGCTCTACGTCACCGCCGCGCCCGCCTACTGCTCCAAGCAGCTCACCGAGGTAAGTCGGCCGCGTGGGCCACGGAGCTGCGGCTGGCGCAGCTGGCGCAGGCCGCCGCCAACTCGCCCGCCTGGCGCCTGCCGCACCACGCCGCGCCGCACGCCGCGCCGCTCTACGTCACCGCCGCGCCCGCCTACTGCTCCAAGCAGCTCACCGAGGTAAGTCGGCCGCGTGGGCCACGGAGCTGCGGCTGGCGCAGCTGGCGCAGGCCGCCGCCAACTCGCCCGCCTGGCGCCTGCCGCACCACGCCGCGCCGCACGCCGCGCCGCTCTACGTCACCGCCGCGCCCGCCTACTGCTCCAAGCAGCTCACCGAGGTAAGTCGGCCGCGTGGGCCACGGAGCTGCGGCTGGCGCAGCTGGCGCAGGCCGCCGCCAACTCGCCCGCCTGGCGCCTGCCGCACCACGCCGCGCCGCACGCCGCGCCGCTCTACGTCACCGCCGCGCCCGCCTACTGCTCCAAGCAGCTCACCGAGGTAAGTCGGCCGCGTGGGCCACGGAGCTGCGGCTGGCGCAGCTGGCGCAGGCCGCCGCCAACTCGCCCGCCTGGCGCCTGCCGCACCACGCCGCGCCGCACGCCGCGCCGCTCTACGTCACCGCCGCGCCCGCCTACTGCTCCAAGCAGCTCACCGAGGTAAGTCGGCCGCGTGGGCCACGGAGCTGCGGCTGGCGCAGCTGGCGCAGGCCGCCGCCAACTCGCCCGCCTGGCGCCTGCCGCACCACGCCGCGCCGCACGCCGCGCCGCTCTACGTCACCGCCGCGCCCGCCTACTGCTCCAAGCAGCTCACCGAGGTAAGTCGGCCGCGTGGGCCACGGAGCTGCGGCTGGCGCAGCTGGCGCAGGCCGCCGCCAACTCGCCCGCCTGGCGCCTGCCGCACCACGCCGCGCCGCACGCCGCGCCGCTCTACGTCACCGCCGCGCCCGCCTACTGCTCCAAGCAGCTCACCGAGGTGAGTCGGCCGCGTGGGCCACGGAGCTGCGGCTGGCGCAGCTGGCGCAGGCCGCCGCCAACTCGCCCGCCTGGCGCCTGCCGCACCACGCCGCGCCGCACGCCGCGCCGCTCTACGTCACCGCCGCGCCCGCCTACTGCTCCAAGCAGCTCACCGAGGTAAGTCGGCCGCGTGGGCCACGGAGCTGCGGCTGGCGCAGCTGGCGCAGGCCGCCGCCAACTCGCCCGCCTGGCGCCTGCCGCACCACGCCGCGCCGCACGCCGCGCCGCTCTACGTCACCGCCGCGCCCGCCTACTGCTCCAAGCAGCTCACCGAGGTGAGTCGGCCGCGTGGGCCACGGAGCTGCGGCTGGCGCAGCTGGCGCAGGCCGCCGCCAACTCGCCCGCCTGGCGCCTGCCGCACCACGCCGCGCCGCACGCCGCGCCGCTCTACGTCACCGCCGCGCCCGCCTACTGCTCCAAGCAGCTCACCGAGGTAAGTCGGCCGCGTGGGCCACGGAGCTGCGGCTGGCGCAGCTGGCGCAGGCCGCCGCCAACTCGCCCGCCTGGCGCCTGCCGCACCACGCCGCGCCGCACGCCGCGCCGCTCTACGTCACCGCCGCGCCCGCCTACTGCTCCAAGCAGCTCACCAAGGTGACTCACGAGCCAATTACGTGCCGCTCCACTCTGTTGTGTCCTGCTGACAGCGAGCGAATGTCTTTAGGTTGGACCCGCTGCTTAAGTGGCAGTGACAAGGCGGTGGAAGAAAGCATGCCTTTTGGTGCGCATTACGTGAGAAGGAGAGAGAAGAGGAGTTGTTTTCTCCCTAGGAGTATGCGAGTCGAATGTTTACGATGGCGTTCCCGTGGCCTTCCTAAGTGGAACACCATGGGGTTTGGTCGATGCGATTTTGACATAATTTATTTTTGTTTTTGTGAGGCGGGTATGCGTAAACATTTTCCCATTCCCCATTTTTATATGTGGTAGAGCCATGCTGCAGTTATAGTTGTAGCATAAATGGGTCGACTCGTCTGGAGTAGGACCACGCTGTAATAGAATATCAGCGTGAAAATAAAGTAGTAATAGCGAGGGTAGAAAACCGGAGACCCTTTTTATTGGTAAACGAGGCACTCCATCTTAGCTGACAAAGCATCTGCATTTTGATTCTTTATACAGGATAGATGTAGGTGTTTATGGGCTATAGCATCCACTTACTATCAAATGAACTGTGTTAGTTATTATTGTATAATATATAAAAATGTTAAAATAAATAGTAGTTTGAAGGTTGTGTTTGCGTGTTGCAGGTGCGGTGCGGGTGCTTCTACCGCAGCGGCGGGCTGGCGCGCGGCGCGCTGTCGCGACGCGCTCGTTCTCTGCTGTGGGTGTGTGCGGGCGGCGCGGCGGGCGCGGGGGGCGCGGGCGGCGCGCCGCACAGCCACGTGGCCGTGCTCGCGCACCGCGCCGCCACGCTCAAGACGCTCGTCACGCTCGACCTGCCCGACACCAAGGTACACACCCACACAACACACAACACACAACACCTACACCACACGCCAAACACTTCTCTGTATAGTCTTCAAACCGAATTTCGCTCCCGGCGGCTATTCTCTACGGAGAATCTGCACGGTTACCGTTATAGACTATTGGTCTACTGCTGAAAGCAGCCCCCCCCCCCCTCCTCCCATTTGCAATAGTTGCCACGCTTTACAAGCCGAACTCTGATGGGACTGGTTTAGATTTTTTTCTGGTTAGAAATTTCTCTGATAAGAAATATTCAGGAGGTTGGCGGTGTTTCGTCAACGTTTTCTTATTGACATCGTATAAAATTCAATAGAAATACAACCAAAGCCCCAGCAGACAGGACAGCCCTAAATATTGCCTCATGGAAGGATATTTCCCATAGTTGCCACGCTTATCAAGCGATTTCGAAGACGCAGTTTTTTATGTTTAGTCTCTTAATTTTTTCCCTCTGTCGACTCTTACAACACCCACGAAATTATATGGGGTCGTGGATATTCTTACACTACCACTACACGGTAATGATGTATTTAATGTATTCTTTTGGGAGAAATTTAAATTTAGTTTAATAGTATTAAAATAAATAATGAAAATTATCGATTATTATGATCAACGTCAATATTTAAGCCCGGTATGTATGAGTATGCAGATGACAAAACAGTTGTGGAGAGCTGAATGCTCAGGCCAGTCGGGAACAAATCCAATACGAAAAAGAACCTATTTATTTATTTAAACTTTTATGCACAAAAGAAACATCGCACAAATCTCTCAATGCAGGCAGTTTCCAAATGGATGTTCGATCTTATCTAAATCTCCAGTCTAAATCGTTTCACCCGATTACAATCTGAATGTCCTAAAAGCACCATAGGGATGTATTGCCACTTATTAGAAGGTAGGATTATAGTTAGCACTGGCTAATAATAGAAAAAAAATATTAACAAAGTTTTGTTTATATCTATTTGACTATAAAAAATATGAATACATTTACTTTTATTCTGATACAATTTCAAAAAGGCGTAGTGGACCCTCGATAATTTTACGCTTATTATTGATTTAATAAAGATTGTAATTTTTTTATCTTTGCGCAGGTTAATTCTATGGAATATGCAAAAGGACTTCGACAAGTGACCACGCTGTGCGGCGACACAGTGTGGCTCGGCACTGAAGACAAGAAGATAATCATATTCTCCGGCGTCGAACCGGAGAAGCAAGAGAAGTTGACAGAAGTGCAGACAATCGCAGCTGTCACACAGATACGCTACCACTGTGACTCAATGTTCGTGGGACTCGCTAACGGAAGAGTTTCGGTGTACAGGAGAAATAACGATGACTCCTGGGCTTTACAAGAACCTCTATATGTAGAACTGGGCGATAAGCCTGTCCATTGTGTTCTACCGGTTGATGGTATAGTTTACGCAACTTGTGGCCGGCGTGTGTTTGCTATAAACGCCCTTACAGCCGAAATAATGCGCATCTTAGATCTTAAAGGGGAGGGTAACCATCCCGTAAAGTACTTAGCACACTCTGGAGTTGGTCTTTGGACGGCATTCTCAGATTCAACATACGTTAGCTTGTATCACGCGGAAACTTTCGAGCATTTGCAAAATATTGACATAGCCGCAGATGTCGCTAAGACCATAGGAGCTAGGGAGGGCAGTAAACCGGCTTACGTGTCCGCTTTATTAGCAAGCCAAGGACTTTTATGGGTTGGGACGACTGCAGGCGTTAGTGTGACTGTGCCTTTACCAAAATTAGAAGGACTTCCACTTGTCGGTGGACATATAGCTGTATCATATCACGCACACGCAGGTCCCGTGACGTTCTTACTGTCGCTACTACCAGAAAACAGAGAAGTAGACGTTAATGTAGTACGACGGAATCTTTCCAACGTCCGCGCTCTAGCTGACAATAACGCTCTGCAGGAGTTTAAAGAGGAGGAAACAAAAGATGATCTCGACAAACCAAAACTTGAACGGCGGATATCAGAAGAGTCAAGCCCGTACCGACCACAACGTGTCCAATCGGCGATAGTACGACGCAAAAAGCCGGGAGATGTGCGTTTAAGTAAAACATTGCCGAAATGTGCCAATTTGAACGCGTGTGACGTTTACGGCTTATTCGGTGATCTCATGTTCGTGAAGGACTGTGTTGGAGAGGCTGATGTAAACGGATCCGGGGGTGAAGCATTGAGAAGAAGCGATCCAGAGTTAGCGGCTATACCCTTCCGCGTCAGCACTTTGGATCGACGACTCAGAATGAGAGCAGGAAGGCCGAGGAGTTTAGACCTTTCGAGTTGGTCCGTGGATTCGAGAGCATCTAGTTTGTGTACATCTTCAGGTAGCGAGGAGTCCATGGCACTTCGTGGGATTTCCCGTACTAGCTCCGGTGCTTCTGGTGCAGCCAATCTCGCCCCTCTTGCCGTTTCAACACCAGACTCGTCTTCAGGCAAATCTTCCGCTTCAGAGCGTTCTATATCCAGAAGCGATTCAGCCACAGCTGTGGAAGTTAGAACCAGTAGTAAGAATGCTGCTAGAAGTCTCCGTGCTACTGATTACATAGTTGGAGAAAGTGCAGTGAGGCGTTCCGTTGTAACTGTAATGGGTGGACGAGGGTATGTAGATTGGAGGCAGACGGCAGACGCCTCAGAAAGGCCAGTCCCTGCCGCTGATCCTAACCCTAAAGACGCACATTTGATCTTATGGGAAATGCGTTTGTGACCTACCTTACTTCGAATTAAAAAACAAAAAGAATCACAAAGCATATGTATTATTATCTCAGTAATTATAGCTCTCCTACACCAATTATATTTGGTGTGAGTTGTGTCATATAATATTATTGTAAATACTTCAAATCTTGTATTTTTATGTAAATTCCAGTTTCGATATGTCCGTACGAAGTAATTGATTTACGTAATTGTGCTAATAAATAGGATATGCGTCGGTTTAGACGTAGCTTTTTTCATGGGCCTAATCAAATGGAGTATTTATGTCGGAATAAAATTTACACAGAGTGAGTGTAAGTAATGTGATAAGCTTTAAATTATTTTGGATGTTGGGCTTGATGCGACAGAGAGCCTGATCTTTATAATTATAATATATAATTACGTATTTACATGACACAGGTGCTTTATTTTTGTGGTTAAATATATTGTGAATTGTTATGAATGACGTAGTAGCATTCATATTAAAATGCTGCATTATTTGCAAGTTTTACAATGTCTTTGAAACCTCTGTTAAAATGAAATCCTTTGAATCTGAAACTTAATTCTGAATTATTAATACACATTTGTTAAATAATGATGAACCGCCATATTAACTTAGATTAATTACTTTTGTATGATAGCATCTGTTATAATTCATAGTTTTTAATTGGTTAATTTAATTAATGTGTATATTTGACTTGTGACTGGTTAATTGATTGGTTTAACCTTAATATAAAAAACTTAGTGGCCTTATTTCCTTGATATTGAAATTCCCAGTATGTGATTTACGGCATTCGTTTAAGCTTTATTGAGAGACATATTGTCGCTTTAAGAATTAGACTGATTTAGCGTAAGCGTTGAAATGTATTATTAGTTAAATTGTAATGATTTAAGACGAATGTACGACATCTCGATCGAATAAATTCTACGATGTTTCTATTAAAAACGAAACCGTAAACATTTACACCGAATTTCGTTTGAAGCGCATTTTTTGTAAATAATTTAAGGGTATAATTAGGTTTATTAACGTTACTGTTTGCGTAATTTTCTTCAGTCTCGTGAACAAATACAGGTTGTTCAGTCACAAAGTTGAGTTTGATGTTGTCAAATGTTGCAGTTTCGCATTACAAAGTAAATGCAAGAAAATGTTTGTCGTTCCCATTATTCCTATGACAGATTGTTTATATTATCTATTTGTATCAATTTTATTGCTTGTTGTGCATCACAATGTTCACGGTCAGTACTCGGTGAGAATATTTTAATTCCAAAGAAATTATTTTTCCATATTTACAAATATTATCTTGTTATTTAACAGCTTTATAATAAAATTAATTGGACTCTGACTTAGCATCATTGTGCCAAATTATTCAATATTTACAACTTTAGAAGAATAAAATATGGAAATTGATGCCATTAAAGTATGCTGATTACATGTATTGTACAGAGAAGTAAAATGTATTTTTGTTGAAAATGTATAAAATTAAGTTCGAAGGCATCTCGAATATTTTCTCAATTGCAGCTTATTACCAATCTCTTTTTTTGTATTTTATTTTTGATGGTAACACAGATGAAACGTCACAATATGTATACTGTATGTATTATGATGTAAATAAATTGTTTATAAACTCACCTGTACATATATTTTTATTTTTAGATTTAGTAACTCGGCAATGGACGGCAACCCCCGGTTAGTAGTGGTCAGAATATCGGGACTGATCGATGTCATAGTCAAGTATTTACTTTCATGATCGCCACAATAATCCTATATTGTAGATCATACTACCGACTCATTAATGAGAAGCCAATATGATAGCATTCAATAACAGAAGTTCAACAAGCCACTAACAGTGACCTTACATGAACTAATATTGCCTATTAAAATTATAGCTTACATCCGGTCCCCCAAGTGACGTGGGGTCAAAGCTGGTACTTGGTACTGTGATGGCCACTGCTATCAAACGTAGCATATTTTTTTAAAACCTTTTCACCGTTTTTAGCTGAGTGCCGTTTTTACCTGTATATGGTATATACGATATACAGGCTTACCATTAAAAAAAAGAGCTTACTCCTTTTACGTCGACAACGCAGCTGCAATTCTTGTGTTGGAGATGGTCATAAATGACGGTAGCCCCACTTACTACGAGGGCGGCACTGAAAATTTCGGGAATCAACGAAGTGACACAACATTACTATTTAAAAATGTATTTATTGCTTTTCGAAGTATTCTCCGCGAAATTTGACACATTTTTCCATACGATGGAACCAATCATTGAAGCAACCATTCCATTCGGAAGTTGGGGTCTCCAAAATGGCCGTTTTGTAGGCGTCCACAGCTTCTTCAGGTGATGAAAATCTCTGTCCACGCAATTTATTCTTTATTTTAGGGAAAGTATAGAAATCATTAGGGCTTAGGTCGGAGCTGTACGGCGGATGGTCTAATAATTCTATGTTTTCTTGCTCTAAAAACGCTTTTGTTCTATTTGCGGTGTGAGAACTCGCATTGTCGTGATGGAGGATGATGCGGCGGTTGCAGTTCTCTTTACGGAGTTCAGAAACGACCTGTGGTAAACAAATGCTTGCATACCATTCTGCATTAACCGTTCTTTGTCCCTCAAGAGGAATAGTCGTAACATAACCGGTTTTGGAGACAAACGTGGCCACCATTTTTTTTGCAACACTCCGTGAACGAACAATTTTTGTTGGCTTTAACTCATTTTCGAACACCCAAACTCGTGACTGGTTTTTTGTTTCGGGTTCGTACGCATATATCCAGGATTCGTCACCTGGTACGATGTTGTACACAGCATTTGAGGATCCTGCGTGAAATCTTTCGAGAGTTCTGACGCACCAAGTAACGCGAGCCGCTTTTTGCTCTCCACAGAGCGAATGCGGTATCCATCGGTAAAACATCTTTTTTACACCAAATTGCTATTGCTACATATATATTTATCTATGGTCAATTCTATTTTCTGAACGACTAAACAAGTTTGACAAAACCTTCTGACAAGACCGAGAATCTTTTTTTAAATAAATAAATGGTATTCGATTTTTAAAACCAAGGAGTTTTCAATTAAAAAGATTTTAATATGACAGGAACAGTGGAAATATTCCATTCCCGATACTTTTAGTGCAGCCTATGTATCAGGCGAGTTGCATACTCGTTTGTTTTCAATTAAAAAATAGTGGCGCGCAAAACAATCTGCGTTTTTAGGGTGGATGAACGGAATAACCCTATCTCTCTATCAGAGGTTGCAGAGTGACGACCTGATAAACGCAGGAAGTCGATGGATGTAGGTGGCTGGCTCAGGACCGTGCTTTGTGGTGTTCCTTGAGGGAGACCTAGGTTCAACAATGGATTTGTCGAGGCCTGTGTGAATGATGATGATTGAATAAAAATATCTTTATTAAATTCATTGTCATATAATGTAATGGCCGAATAGGATAAATAAGATTTTCTTGTATATTGTAAATATTATATTTAAAATAAATAGAATTCGTTATTTTTCGTTCAAATACTTTATTAATCATTTTATTGTGCACAAAAAGGTATTCATGTTTTAATTCCAACATCTAAGCATTAGATTTTTATATATTTTTCTTGAATTATTTATCACTTCAAATCCAACAGTAAATATATTTGTTATTTTCTCGAAATATACGCTTTTTGTATTATATATGTATCTACATGTATAATTTATTATTATACTATTTCATATAAGCCCTGTAACAAAGTAAAATACATACCTAGTAAGTACAAACAGCAAGATTCCAGGGGAGCTTAATGGTTAAGGAAACGGATAGGAAACTTAGAAAAAAAAACGTGGGTTCGAATTCACCAATTAACTAACAGTCGTATCATCAGTATTCGACCAGTAGACGTTAACAGAAATAAAATAAATGTTACTAGCGTTACATACTAGTATTCATTTTTAATATTTCTGAACTCTTTCATTGGGTCAGCTATATTTAAAAAAATGATGTCGCAATAAGCAAATTGCCAAAGAACTCATGGCCCTAATTTATGGTGGGTATATACCTAACCATCTAGTTTACGCCGTTCGGCGTAAAATTACTAACCAGCAACAGGGTTCAGCGGCAAAGATGGGAGACGCCTGGTACAGCGATCGTGTCGTTTTATCTATAATATAAAAATGAATCACTGAATGTGTTGCTAAGCGCAAATTTCGAGAGCAGCTGAACCGATTTCGCTAATTCTTTTTTGGTAATATTCCTTGAAGTACGAAGATTGCTCACGGAAAAAAAAATTTAAAAAATTGCCTGAAAAGTCTAACAACAACACTTCTATATTCCCATACAAAAGATTCGTAATTATACTTAAAAGTTAATTTGAACTTTAATACCATACTATAAAGTTTAAGTGTTAGTGGAGGGGTTCCGGGAAGGCAAAACAATTGAGTGACGTTAGTATCGTATAAATATTAATGAAAATATTTGTCAATATTTATACACACTGGCAGATAGATTTTTTAACATTGGTAGAGCCACGCGGCAGCTTTTGCTGTCGCACGGATGGGCCGGCTCGAACCGGGGTGGTACCACGACCTCACAGAAAACCAGCGTGAAGTAGGTTTACCTCTGCGTTTCGCTTGGTGAGTGCAGGTGGCCGGAGGCCCTTTTTACTGGAAATGAGGCATTCCATCTTAGTCCTCACGGGTGACAACGCATCTACATTTTGATTTGTAATAGAGGATAGATGTAGATGTCTATGGGCCACAGCAACCACTTACCATCAGGTGGACTGTGTGCTCGTTTGTCACCCTTATCCTATAAAAAAAAAGATAGCTGATGTTATAAGGAGTAACTTGGGCTGCTTTTATTTTATGGTTCCGCGAAAAATAACTCCATGCGGGCGAAGTCGCGGGGAACAGCTAGTAATCTGATAAAGGAGAACAAAAGTGTGCTTGCAAAAATATAAAATTCAAAATGAAATCATTATTCATTTTGTCTAAAGTAAATATTGGTAAATTAGTGGATTAAGAACATAAAAATAAATGT